CCTCGCACTGACGAATTTGGTACTTCTTTGGACAAGAAGGAGGTGACTTCCCCACTTCGATATCTGATCAAGCACGTTTTTGTCTAATTTCGACGCTGGAAAAGTGAAAATCTAATCTGTCTCCTAGAAAATCTGGCGCTTTATCACGAATAATTCATCCCGAACAGAACAGAAACATGGGTACGTTGTGGGAAGATCGGTCTTGGCGGCTGCAGTATGAGCTGCGGCGGCAGCGGCGGACTGGTCACCACCAGGTTCATGTCCTCGGGACTGCACTGGAACACTTCGATGTACCGCTGTTTCTTTCCGATCTGCATGTACTTGTTATGAGCCAAGGCGGCAGCTGTTGCAGCACTTATCTCGGAATCCATCTGTATGAATGCTTCGCCACTCGGATGTCCTTGTGCGTTGTAAACCATATGCACGCCCTGCAACCAACTCTGATCGTTATTATTACTACCTTCCTTGCCAGTATCATTATCAATTGCATCATCAATAGCAGTTATGATTATTATCACTAATGTCACTAGTTCCCCATGAGCACTCAAAATTGATACCTCAGTTCGACTTCCTTTCTATCAGATCATCATTATTCAATAAGTGCTAAGTACGGAAGATTTTTCCTGGTATCGCTTTTGGATATCGAAGCAAATGAGCACATAGAGATGGGTGGAAGAGGCAACAGATCGGGAAAAGGAAAGGAGGGGAGGGGAGGGGGGCGAAAAGGGAAGCAGAGGAATCCATGTTTGCGGTTAGCTGCTTTAACAGCACAAAAGTTTCAGCTGTTATGTTTAGAGCCTGACCCGTGTGAAGTTCAGATCCAAACATGGCTTCTTGCACATGACACTTAATCCAGACCCTTATCTCCTGTTCTGTTATTTCACAATTCCGCAAGTCAGTGGAAGTCTAACTCCGGAACAGGTTTAGCTCAAGTTTTCATTAAATCGAGCTGAGCGGACCATATCACATCATTCTTTTCTGGTGCATTAAGCTCAAATGCAGCGAGCTGATATGTTCAAATCAGCGAATAATCAGATGAC